CACACACACACACTTTCTTCCTGTTTATTTGCTGGTAATGCTGGTACTTGGGCCTCTTTTGTAAGGGAGGATTATGTCCATATTCCAGTCACTGAGTGTGATGTTGAGCTTTTGGGTGTGGTTTGCAAAGGCGATGCCAAGCTTAGGGCTTTTCTGAGCAAGCTAAGAGAACTTTTGCTGTGGGCGACATCCTCAAAAAACTCCTCAAGAGCACACGGCTGGGGGCCAGGGTGCTTTAGGCAGTAAAACTCCTGTTGTGGCATGCGGGTTCCGAGTCCCTGCCCTGTGCCACAGATCCCTGGTCCCTCCGTTGCCATGCTGCATACGTGGACAGGCTCGGAGAGAGTGTGGTGCAGGTGGGCTGTAGCTCTTGGGACAAATGTGGCATGACATCCAGGGTGCTTTACGCAGAATTGCCTCTGGTGATGCATGGATGTTGGACATCCTTCTGCAGTCTCACAGGACTGGTGTTTGGTTCCCTTTTGGAAGTCAGGTGGATTAAACCCCCAGTCAACCCGACGCTGAATTGACAAACCACAAAATGCATTTTGCTGCGCCTGAAATGCACCGTGCCGATGGCCTTTCCCCACCGAACCCCCGCACCTGGGAACTGTAGCTTTTAGTCTGGTATTTGTATACGAGCAAAGTCTACCGTCCCGCCTGTGGGTGGACTGGTGGTAAACAACCACCAGTACTCGTGGGTATGGAGGCGCTCCACTGCACACGAAGCTTTGCCAAACCGCCAGAGGCGCACTTCTTTTGTTATATGGCGGGCGCCGCAAGCCATCGTGGTCTGGTAGCCCCGACGGGCAAGTTTTCGGAGTAGGCGACAAAACATTTTCTGCGAGGCTCGGGCCGTGTGCTTGCAGTTTAAGGGCCCTGTTTGTTCGTTTTTGTTCGAGAGAGATTGCTGCGCTGTTTGCCCCTTAGAATAAGATGTCGAGCTGGTTGACACCTGTGTGTTTTCTTACCTCAACCACACTTTCAGATGCATGGCCCTTAATGGAAGATTGTCTTTTTGTGCAGGGGTGCTTACCAATTCGCTCTTCACAGTGCAGGTGCACAGGAAGCAGATGGACGGATGTGTGGGCACAAGCCCCTCAACCACACAAACTGGGTACCGCAATAATCTTTGCATTTGAGTATCTGCAAATGGGCCAAATCAGACAGCAACTTAGAAAGAGCAATCTCGAAGCTCATTGGTGGTGTTTGATGCTGAAGGATTTCCATAGCTTTGACAGAGTCGGGCTTAAGCCCCTCATGGTGTTAAGTACTTCTTCACAGGACCCCATGCAACATGACATTGGACGATGAGGCTATGCTGGGCTGTCGCCCGGTCCGGCACGCCCAGCCAGGCACGGCCGGGGCAGTTGGGCAGAGGAGGGGGGGGGGGGGGGGGGGGGGGGGGGGGGGGGGGGGGGGGGGGGGGGGGGGGTCGCCCGGCAAAACCAGACGCGTCAAAAAAGAGGCAAGGATCCCCATAAAAACAAAAAAAAGACTTCAGGCCATGACTGGGCTTGGCCCAAGCAGTCCGGATCCGGTCTTAACTTTGATTTTGGTGATGGGTCATCCAGGGGGGTTTGGGAGATATAAACAGTGACTGAAGGGGTTTAAAAGGGTACATTTCAACTCATGTTTTGTCATTTATTTATATCTTATAATTTTAACAAGGAATTTCGAGGTGAAGTCCAAAAGCCTTTTATCTTGAATTCGTGATAACAAGGCGCCGCTTATGCACTGCGCTTTCCCCCTTCACTAACCATTTTGTGTATTTCCAATTTCACACTATGCGTAATGCTTTCTGTTACATGCTGTGCCTGCAACAGGCTGCACAGGCTATTTTCAGGCCTGTGTCGTTTTCAGCCCGAAAGCCTGAAAACAAGGGCCTACAGACCTTGTGTCGTTTCATCCTGAAAGCCTGAAAACAAGGGCCTACAGGCCCTGAGTCTTTTCAGCCTGAAATGGAGGCCCATTTTCAGGCCCTCATAAGACTGGCCTGCCCTTACTTATGCACCAGACCAGGGTCTTAGCTCAGGCCATTTTTGGCCTATTTTCAAGACAACCTTTGTTTGAGCCTCAACCCCAGGGTCTGGCACCCTTTGGCATTGGCAAGAGCAGCCTCCTGGACGGGCCAGCACTATATAATACTGGCCTGCCCTGCAGGCTGCAGGGAGTTCCTAGGTACTTCCCAGGCACTTCACGTGCAGTTCAGGAGGCAGGAGGTAGTCTTCAGGATTCGGCAGCAGCACTCTGGAGGAGCGCTGCAGGAGTAGTAGTAGCGCTAGCAGTAGTCTTCAGCGCTGGGCGCTAGTAGCGTTGGCAGTAGTCTTCAGCGCTG